TCACCTTCAGAAAAAATGACAAGCATTCTCTAAACAGGAACATTTATTTATATGACATACATGTATGATGATTTAACTATGTAAATTATAAAACACAAAAATAAGGGTAAGATGTAAATAAAAAGACTAATAACTAATTTTATGTATTAATGGATGGGGAGATCTTTAGCTCTCACTAAAAATTGATACTGATGATATCTGTCGGTGGAGGCAATGTGATTAAATAAATCTCATTAATTTTAAACATGCTGTATAAAGTAATTTAAAGACTCCAAGTTCTGTTTGATACTTGGTTTAATGGCCTCAGAATTGAAAAACTACCACACAAAGATACCCACATCCAAATGGAAGAAGTTCTTGGTGGCCATGTTTACTAATCCATGACATTAACTTTTCAATTCCATACACAAATTATGTAAAAATTTTGTTGAAATGTGCTAGTAAATATGTATTTTATCTGACATACATCAATTGTTTTTACAAGCTAATCAGAAGACATTCCATATGTATATAGTAAACAGATGATTTGAAAACCAACTGAAATCCTTTATTTGGAAGATTTTAAACCAATTGGAAATTTTTGTTATTAACTCTTTAAAGTGGGCATATATTAACTTAATATGGATAAAATCATATGATGGAAAGTGTTACAAAAAATACATATTCAACATGCTCTTGCTATATCAAGAGTCAGCAAACTATATCCAGCCTACTACCTGTTTCTAGGAAGTATTACTGGAACACAGCCACGCCCATTCATTTATGTACATGTCTATGGCTGCTTTCATGGTGCAGTAGATGCAACAGAAAGTATATGGCCTGCAAAGCTGAAAACATTTGCTATGTGAAACTTAACAGGAAAGAAAAAAAAGTGCTGAGTTCGTCTCTATAGCATCAACTTCCATCAAAAAACAGTTAACTTTCTCACTCATGTTAATCTGTGAGTTAAATTGTTTTTATTTTTTTCTGAAAATATTTCCTAAGTTTCATACTATTGAAAACTACATGTCATTCCTGAAATGGACAAATTTCAAACAGCAAATTTCAAACACTATATAACTCATCTGTAGGTGTGACAACCTCTTGAGGTAAAAGAGGCATTTAGTTACTCTACCATAAACTACACAATACAAAGCCTTTACAATATGAAGTCCTGTATCTTTACAATACAAATATTGTAAAGAGTCTACTATTTAAGATAACATAAATTGTATTGCTACTTAACCTGGCTTAGGTAAAAGTGTAATTCATGGCAACATACTGCAAGCAAAGCAGTGATGGTGTGACTGTTAACCCTTTCTAGACCTACAACATCCACTGTTTCCTCAGAATATGTCTTTTTGTTTATAACTCATCTGACATACAAACTGACAGTATCAATGGCAATTCATGTATTAGCAAAATTTAATTACTTTTTAAAAACAAATATACATGGGGGGAGGGAGGGAGGACAGGAGGGAGGAAGAGAGAGGGGGAAAGAGAGGGAGTAGGAGGAGGAGGAAGAGGAGAGGGAGATAAAAAACATCCCATAGTTTCTTTCTATACCCCAAAAGATACGTCAGTGCATACTCCCAAGGGTACACAGCCACTCTGTAGACCTCTAATTCAAGTCCCTGAAACTAAAATTCTTACATACAGTGCATGAAACATCAGAATACCTAGAGTATGTCAGATTCCATAATTAATTGCAGTTCGCTAAAATTAGCTGAGGTCATAGCAGTACGTGGTGTAGCTATCTTATTCCTCATACTAACACTAGAATACTTTACTCAGATTAGCCATATTCCTCCTGTAGGCAACCAGCAAGATGACTAATGAAACTATTATTGTAAACTGTTTTTCTATCTTGTTCGCGCCACTCAATTTATATAGACTTGAGCTCCTAATCAAGGAATCTTTATAAATATTTTCTTTCAAAAAAACTAACAACCGAAATTTGACCAATCTATACAAAGGATGGAAGAATTCCAGGTTTGGGGAATACTGATTTTATTCATTATTCTGCCACTAAATAAAATAGGAAATACAGGGAAAGGATATGATTTGGCTAGAAAAGATGATTTTTTTAGGCTTCTACTTGTTGCATTAGAAGAATCTACAAAGACATTAACCTCAAAAATAAGAAAGAATCTTTTCTTAGGGAAAAGTAAAGAAGGGTTTTCTAACCAACTAAAAATGAAAGAACTAAAAACTGCCAGTTTTTTTTCACACTAAATTGGTCCTATGAATTTTAAAATATCTCATACTCTGTCCCCGCTTTTTCAACTCTGATGTAGTTAAACCCTTATCATTGACCAGGCATGCTTTTAAAACAGCCTTTTCAATTATTTCTGGTCTCCAGTGTCCCTTCTCTGCATCTTTCACATTATAATTATCTTCTATAATAATATGACCACATCATTACTGTACAAATATAAATTTTATATATTCTCATTTATATTATGTGGATGAATTTACTGGTTTTAACTAGAGTTACAGAGTAAACCACATCATTCTTATTTTAAAAACCCCTCACAGTCCCCTCTTCAAATAGCTTGGCTGATTTATGAATTTATAATTTTTGTTAGCTTTAACTGGCATTTTAGTAATCCAATCAGCAAGGATTTATTAACTGTTGTACACTGTACTGTGATACTGTCCCTATCCTTAGATCTTAAACTCTAGTTGGACACTGTAAAACTAACGAGGTTTTAGACACTGCTACATTGTTCAGCACTTAATTGCTCTGTGCCCCCTGTGTAATCTGAAATCAAAGCAAGCAGATAACAAAAAATTAAGGAAAGACTTCATGGAGGAGGTGGAATTTTAGCTGCAAGCTGAGAGGTAGGCAATACACAGAATGATAGCAAGAGGCTTTAATAGATAAGAAGGAATCTGACAGGAGTGGAGGTGTAAGGACAAGCATGAGAAAAGCCCCTGGGGAGAGAATTCACAGGGTAAAACTGTAAAGATACAGGACACTAATAATGGGGAACAATGACATACATCTTGTTACAAAATAGTCATGAGATATAAAGTAAAGCATAGGGAGTGTAGTCAATAATGTTGTAATAACTATGTAATCATGCCAGGTGGGTACTAGATCTATCTGGGGATCACTTTGTAAGTTATAAATGTCTAGCCACTATGCTGTACACCTGAAACTAATATAATATTGTATGTCAACTGTAATTGAAAACTTTAAAAAATTAAAATAAAGAAAAAGATACAATCTTGGCTAGGGAAGGTAGATTCCACTGCAGAATGTCATGGAAGCCAGGCAGAGGTGTTTAACTTTGACTTTACAGACACTAATTAATAAAAAGACAAGAGATGGAGTAAGAAGATTATTCTAACATCCATTCTCTCGCATTTGGAAGAAACAGAGAAAGGCAAGCAGAGATATTCAGAAAGAAATGACAGGGCTTAAAGAGAGATTACAGGTAAAGAGAATAAATCATCAAAGAAGAGTACAGTTTCTGGCCTTGGAAACTATGACAGTGGAGACATCACTAAAGGAATCAGGAAAGCTGGGGAAAAAAGATTTGAGAATGGGAAATAGATGGTTGTGGACATGTTAGATTTAAGCTGATCCAAGTGGAGCTATCCTAGGCTATTCTACAGCATAATACTAGGATGAAGCAAGAATCCAGGGCAAGAATAGGTAGATATGTGCTCTTTCAATGCCTTACATCTATTTAAGGATTTAAAGCCATATATTATTAATTTCGAGCCTCAAAACACAGTCAGGTAGAAGAACAGAAATTAACAGCTTCACTTCACAAATAAAGAAATTAATGTTTAGAATTAATGTGACTTGCCCAAAGTCAAATGATTTGTTAGCAGTAGAGCCAGGAAAATTCCAGTTCCCTACTCTTGCCATTAGAATCGCCAGTTTCCAAAAAACAAGTAAAGGAGCTCAAGGTCCTTCTTCCAAAAGAAGTCATCAGCATGAAGACAACAGCTGACGCCATGAGAATGCATAATTCTTTGAGGGCAGGACAGAAAAATAAGAAAGGATTCCTGCTGATATACACAATTGAAATGTGGAAGGAAGAGAGTACACCACAAGGAGTATTCAAGAGGGTTAGGAAAAAAACCAAAACCAGGAAAGTGCAGAGTCAGGAAAGCCAAAAATGGAATAAGTACTCAGTGATCTCAAACGCCAAAGTTGGAAGAAGATGAAAAATTGGCGTGGAGGTAACACATTTGATGGTTGAAATATTTTCAAATATTTAACTCAAGACACTGGGGGGAGAAATTCCTGCAAAATGTTTACTACTACCAATATCCATTTGGTAGACTAATGTAAAGGATTGCGTTTTATTTTTCATACACGCAACTTCTACTTCACAAATCATATTAATATAAGTGTGAGTGAAATGTTTTTCAAAGTTGGAAAATTTAAAAATCTAAGGAAATAAAGCTCCTACTTAATTAGTCTTATAGAAGTATAATTTGATCTTTTAAATCATAGCTCAAATACATTTTAACATAATTTGATCAGTTATTTCAATTTGTATTTGGCAAAAAAATATTTTCAGCTTTTACCTTCTTCATACTTGGAGGCTTTTCATAATCCTAAGTAGTTTATTTTTTTCTGTCATCTATTTTGCTAATTCAAAATTCCAGTAAAGGAGTAAGAGCTATAAATAACTAAAACTATAGCTATGCCCAAAACAAAATTACATATGAAGTAATTTACCAAGTTTTCATAACAAATGTCAATAGAAATAATACGGTCAATCTTTTGATCATATATGCGACTTGTCTTAAGTGGAAGTTAGCATGCAAAGAAAAGTGGCCTGACTCTTTTATCCCTTTTCTAACATGACTGATACAAAATATTTTCAAATAAAATCAACTTACATTAGTAATATTTTTAGAACACAGCACTGTCTTTGCACAAACCAAGTTTAGAAAGATCCTTGGAAATTATATCCATCTTAAGTTTTAAAAAATTTAATATGACAATGAATTAAAAATTTTAAAGACAGCTAACCAAACAACTTGCTACTGACCTTGTTCAAGTCTGAAGAGGGTCTTTTCCAGCTTTTCCATTTCGTTCAGAAGTAAAATTCTAATCTGTTTACTGTGTCCCATTTTGGCTTCTAGAGAACTTGAAATCTTTCAGACGAATTAAAAGAACTCGGAAATCCAATGAGTTACCCCTATAACAAAAAAAAAATTTAAGATAAAGAAAATAACTATTATCTTAAATTCTCTAAGGCTGGCAGCTGCACTTACATGCTCTAAACGTGTTTTAATCCTAGCGGAGCAAACAGAAAAAGAATGAATCTTATAAATTAAGACCAGAGAAGGCAAATTGATAGCTGTTTCCACACTTCACGCACAATATGACCAAAGCAAAAATACTGTATTACAGATTCTTACAATTAAAACAAAAACCAAAAATGCTAAAGTAGTCCCAGAGAAAAGTAATCTGTTTCGGAAAGCATGGAATTGGGTGGGGGGTAAAATTCCCAGTCCCAAGCCAACTGGCGTTGAAGGCTCCAAATGGCTTTCTGCTTACAAGAGATTAATTACTCTGCTCCAAGATAACAGGTGGGACATCTCCCCATTCCCAAATTCGGGTCGGAAGCCACCAATGGGGAGATGGGAACAGAGGGAAGCAGTTGTTGCCCCTGGAATAGCTGCCCTAGACATCGGATGTACAGACAGAGCTATAGATAGAAGGCATTTCCCCCGAGGCCAGCGGCATTCCTCGCACTTACACCGAGCAAGTTATACGTGCAGCTGCTGGGACACTGCAGGACCCGCGACCCTGGCGTTCAAGTCGGGGAGGGGACGGGAAGGAAAGCAGAAAGGGGAAGGCAGGCTGCCCAAGCGCAGCAACAAACCCCAAACTAGGAAAGCCGGGCGCCGTGAAGGGCAAGGGGCGGGGCGGCGGAAGCGGGACGCGGCCCAGGCCGCAGGGGGCGTGGCAGACGCGGCCTCGTGACTCCGCCCCGAGCCGGCCCCCGCGCAGACTCTCGACCCCACCCCACCTGGCCTCGCGCGTGCCAGCCCCGGGTGGCGGCGCGCTGCTCCGCTAGCCCACTTCCGGAGGCGCTGCCCCACCTGGCGGCGTCTGCCAATCTCGCGAGAGCGTGGGCGCCGCGGGCCGGGGTCGGGAGGCGGCTGCGCGGGGCCGCGAGCAGCTTGTCTGTCGCCGCGAGCTCCCCGTGCAGCCTGCGAGCGCTCGCACATTAACGTGCTGAGGCAGAAGGCTTTCGTTTTGTGGACCGGCCAAATGGTGCGAGGCAAGCGACCTGGCTCCCTGTGCCACCTCTACCACGACGCCTTTTGTGTCTTTCTTTTGATTAAAAAATATTTTTTTAATTTAATTTTGTTCGTGGCCTAAATTTACTTAGCCTTGATTTTTGCCCGTGTCTCAAATAAGGCCTGGCTGCAGTCTGTGACATTCCATCCTGCACGTGTCCAGCATCTCGAGTCCTAACACAGTCAGGGCACACCTTCCTGAACGCAGCTCCTGGAGGCCTGGGTAGGGGCAGTGTGGCCAGCTTATGGACAATCCGGAGTGTGAATACTTGTGTTTGCAATGTCTGCTTGGACCTCATGCACACTGCGTCGATCCGAATATCGTCGGAGATTAAGGATCTATAATATATTGCCTACAGCTGCACATATTTTAGGCCAGAAATTCAGGCTGTGGTCCAGATGCCTAAGAGATTTTATGCCTGAGGGAAAAGAAAACCCATCTTCCAGAGCTTTCTGAGGGCACCTAATAATAGTGAGAAGATGGACAAAAGGCTGGGGAGCTTGGCGAAGACTCTTGCTTTGTTTTTTGTGGAATGACTGTAGGTCCAAGAACAGTAATTGGTTAAAAACTAAAGATACTGAAAACTTGTTTCAGTACATTTCTGAGAATGGCTAGTTGCAAACGGTCTAAAACTGAGTTTGGGAACCCACAACTCATTCATTCAACTAATATTTATTGAGAACCCACGATTTGCCAGGCACGTAGGTGCTGAGGACACAGCACTGAAAGCAAGTCACTGCTCTCATGGAACTACGTTTTATTGGTGATAGATAAATTTAATTCATAAATTATATGAAAAAACAAAAAGTTGTGAGAATTAAAGCAGAGAAGGGGAACTGGAAGAGGGAAGTTCGCAATTCCAAATACAGGAGTCAGTAAAGGACTTGCTGGCAAGTTGACATTTGATCCCAGAGAAAGAAGAAAGCATTTCCGTAGAGGGTTTCATATAGACCTACAGGAAGTGCAACAGCTACGAGGTAGGAGCACCCTTGATGAATTCAAGGAGGCAGCTGTAGCTGAGTGAAAAGGAGAGTGGTAGTAAATTAGGACAGATAGATGAGGTGGGTGGCCAGATTTTGGAAGGCTTTGTAGGTCATTGCAAGGACTTGGGCTTTTTTACTCTAGGGAAGAGACGCATTGGAGGATTTTGAACAGAGGCATGGCATAATCCGATTGCCCTTTTAAAAGGATCATTCTGCAACTTTATAAAGGCTAGCTAGTTAAAGTGTAGGGAGTGGTGAGGAAGGAAATAAGAGACCAGTTAGGAAGCTATTTAAAATACACAATCTAGAGATCAACGTGTGTGTGTGTGTGTGTGTGTGTGTGTGTGTAAAGTAAGTATAGCAATGAAAGGGGTGAGAAGTTGTTGAATTATGGATCTGTCTTGAAGGTAGATTCTATACAATTTGCTGATGGACAGAAAGGAGTCAAGGACAATTTTAAGGTTTTTAGTCTGTGCACTCAGAACTTTACTATCCAATAGAAATATAATATGCCACATAGGTAATTAAAATTTTTCAAGTAACCATATAAAAAAAAAAGGAAAAAGGCACAGGTGAAATTAATTTTAATATCTTTTACCTAGGACATCTATAACATTATTTTAACATGCAATCAATATAAAAAGTTATTAATGAGATATTTCAGACTCTTTTTTTTTTTGTACTAAGCCTTTAAAATGTGGTGTGTATTTTACACTTTCATCATGTGTCAATTCCAATAGCTACATTTCAGGTACTTCGAGAGCTTCATGTGGCTAGTGGCTGCCATATGAACAGTGCGGAGTAAGCTGCCATTTAATGAGAGGGGAAGAAAAGGACCGAGCAGGGTTGGAGGGAGAAATTCAGGACTTTGGTTGTAGACTGTCAACAACCAAGTGAAGATGTCTGTCCACTTGTTTGAAATGACTGTCAAACATCCAAGTGGAAATACTGAGTTCATCATTTGTAGCCCTGGTCTCTAAAGTAGTGCTTTTCGAATTGTGAGTCATAACCCACTGAGGGTTGTAAAATCATTTTTTTTTTGTAGTTTCAAGCAACAGGTTTTAAAATAAAACAGGAAAGGGCTGAATGCATTGCATCTGGTAAGTGCATTATTTCACAAAACTTCTGTTTCTATTACTATATTTTGATGTATTATTGGGTCATGTATTCCTACTGGGGGTCATGGTTAAAAGAAGTTTGAGAGCCACTGCTGTAGAATACATGTTGTTTAAAATTAATGATTTATAATTCGTGATTATGAAATGGTGTCTGGGTTTGAATTCCAGCTCTGCTGCTGCCTAGTTGTGAAGCTTTGGAAGATACTCAACCTCTTTGTGCTTTGGTTTTTCCAACTGTAAAATAGGGATAAAAATATTGTCTACTTAAATGAGGACCTAGAATTGTTCCTGATACATACGAAGTGCTTGTGTAAGTACAAATGTTAGAGCAGAGTGGGACCCTGACCATGTTGTGAAACACAGTTCACATTTATGTTTGTCTTCAAGCTCTCTTTTCCGTATCCCCTTCCACTTTCAGTCTCGTCACATTATCCTCCTGTTGATCACTGTTCTCCAGGGCTGCAAAATTAGCCTTTCCTGCTGTTCTTCCTCCAGCAAAACTCTCGCTGTAGTAGTGTCCAATATTTCAGCTAGAAATACAGAGTTAAACAGATGGATGAAACAAATTCCTTTAGTAGTGAATTAATACACAAATGCTTAAATTTTAAAAGATGATTTGTTAACTCAAATGACCTTAATTTTGAAGATTTCATATTGTGAAAAAAAGCGAAGAAGTCAAGTAATAGAAATATGATTTAATGTGATGTGCCTCTAAGATTAATTTTACAAGCACATAGAAAAAGAAAGTCATGTGCTATTTGTGAAGTTCTTGAAATGTCAATGAATTTGCAGTCTAGGGCTACAATGGTACCATGAGCAACCATCATTTTGGCGAACATTTGTCATGTGTCTGTCTTGTGCACAGCAGAGATCTATATATAGATATCTATATATATATATACAATAATCTCAATGCTGAAATTTTTTTTTTTTAAAGATTTTTTTGTTGGGGAATTGGGGGATGGGAACAGCGCTGGGGAATTAGGGGAAGGGGAGCAGACAAGTTGCTGTCGTTTTGTTCTTCAGTCTAGTTGTGGAGGACGTTGCTTCACTGGCCCAAGTTGGCACCATCATTGCGCTCTTCCCAGGCGAGGCACATCAGTCTCCGGCTTCTGGACGGCTGCTCACTGCGGCTGCTGGCCGCTCACGCTGGCTGCTGGCCGCTCACGCTGGCTGCTGGCTACACACGGTAGCCCATGGCAACCCACTGCCACAGGGGCTGCAGCCTACGCCGTCGCTGGTGACTCACGGCAGCCCAGCTCCAGGTTGAGCTGTTGTTCAGCATCTTAGCTGTGGAGGGCAGTGTCACTGGCCCTCATATGTGGGATCCGAACCGGGGCCCTCTGGCGTCCCAAGCCAGTTCTTAACCATCGCGCCACTCGGCCGGCCCGGGCTGATTCGTTTTGAGGACTGGCCATGACTACATTGTAGAAGCTGTTGTGCAGGGGCTGACCCTATGGAGCAGGATTCACTTTAACAGAGCTCTAGTGCCTACTGAGTCTGCCTTTTAGGCGTGTTGTTTGTGTAGGTAGTTGGGTGGTGCTCTGGTGTGGTCTGAAGCTGGCAACCTGGTGTGTTGGTTCTGGGGCCTCTTGAGAGGGGCTCTGTTGCAGGCCAAGGCTGCTTCCTGTCTCCTGCCTGGGGCCACTTGGTATAAGCTATTATACAAAGTGATCTGCAGTTGGTTGCCACTTGTGATGGGCTTGAAGGTGCCTGGAAGAGGCTAATCTGTGAAGTGAGGCTTGCAGTCAGTAGTACTGGGCTTGGGGTTGCTTCACAAGAGCTATAGGGCATGCCAAGACCAGATGCTGCTTGTTCGGGGTTTCTGAACCTTTGACAGGTTTTAGGAAAGTTCACAGCATGAGCCAAGACAGGCCGTTTGTAGGGAAGAGCCAGTGGAAGCGGCTTGGGTGGGCCTGCAAGTTGGGTCGGGTGAGATCTCAGGGGCGAATGGCGTTAGCTAGGTTGACGGGGACTCAGATATGATGCCCTCCTACGTGTGCAGGCTGGGTGGTGGCAGGGCTTAGCAAAGGAACAATGGCTTCTGCCAGCGCTTCTGTCTGAGAGAAAGCTGCTCCTCCAGCCATCACTCTGAAGCCAAACAATTCAGTTCCTCTCTGTGTGTCCCTTGCTCTTTTGAGCTGCTGCTCCAACGCTGGAATTCATTCTGAGTGATTCTGTCAGTAAGGTTGTGTGCGGGCCCTTTAAAAGGAACACCTGGGACTCCAGCTGCCCTCCATCTCACTCAGCAACAATCTCTGCTGGTTTTCACAGCCAGACGTTATGGGGACTTTTCCTCTTGGCACTGGAACCCTGGACTGGGGAGCCTGGTGTTGGGCTGGGACCCCTCACTCCTCAGGGGAGACCCCTGCAGCCATGATATCCCTCCCCATTGTTAACCGCCACAAGTGGGGATGGGTCCAGCCCATTCCGTGTCTCCACCCTTCCTACCCGTCTCCACATTGCTTCTTTTGTATGTTCTTAGTTATAGGACTTGGTGATTCTCAATTATGGTTGTTCTGTAGACGTAACTTTTGAGTTGGTCATGGGAGGAAGCAAGCACAATACTTACCTACTCTGCCATCTTGACCAGAAGCCCTCTCTTTTAGCAATGTTTTGTAGTTTTCATTGTACAAATCTTTCTCTCCTTGGTTAATTCCTAAGTATTTATTCTTTTTGATGGTATAGTAAATGGAATTGTTTTAAGATTGTTCATTGTTAGTGTGTACAAATGCAAGTTATTTTTGTGAATTGACTTTGTATCCTTCTACTTTGCTGAATTTATTAATTCTAACAGGATTTTTTGTGGAATCTTTAGGGTTTTCTACTATAATATCATATCATCTGTGAACAGAGATTTCTTCTTTCTTTTCAGTTTGGATGCCTCTTTGTTTCTTTTTCTTTCTTCCTTACTTTTATTGCCCATCCCCCACCCCCGCTAATTATCCTGGCTAGGACTTCTAGTACTGTGCTGAATAAAAGTGGTGAAAGTGGTATCCTTGCCTTGCTCTTAATCTTAGAGGAAAAGTTTCAGTTTTTTCACTATTTAGTATGGTGTTCACTGTGGATTTTTTCATATATGGCTTTTATTTGTTGAAATAGTTTTCTTCTATTTCTAGTTTGTTGGGTGTTGAAATGGTTTTGAATTTTGTCAAATGCTTTTTTTTCTTCACCAATTCAGATGAGGTTTTATTTCTTTTGTAGAATGTGCATTTCCTTTTCCCTTTTGAAATTTCACAGAAAAGGATAAGGGGCTTGTATGTGCTATATTTATTGGCAGTGTGATAAGCCCATAAGCCTATGACTAGTGTGGTACTAACAATGCTGCATTCATTGTGTTTTCACAAGTAGCACTCTTATTATTATTAATTATAGTTAAGCTTTTCAATTTTCTCAGTTATGAAAGGATTGGACCTGAAAGCTAATTTCATTCATGTTTTGCCCAGTTCAAAAGGGTGGAAAACAAAGAAACCTCTCAAAGCAAAGCTTTCAAAATCAAGAATGCATGGCATATGAGGACTGATAATTAAGTTCATGAACTTGTTGCACCGATGTTGTTAACCTTTTTTGATATCAGAGGGATTATTCATTATGAATTTGTACCAACTAGAAAAACAGTTAACCAAGTTTACTATTTGGAAGTGCTGAAAAGGCTGCATGAAAAAGTTAGACGACCTGAACTTCTTACCAACAATTCATGGCTCTTGCATCACCACAATGCACCAGCTCACACGGCACTGTCTGTGAGGGAGTTTTTAGCCAGTGAACAAATAAGTGTATTGGAACGCCCTCCTCACTTACCTGATCTGGCCCCCAATTACTTCTTTTTTTACCCAAAGATAAAGGAAATATTGAAAGGAAGACATGTTGATGACATTCAGGACATCAAGGGTAATACAATGACAGCTCTGATGGCCATTCCAGGAAAGAGTTCCCAAATTGCTCTGAAGGGTGCACTAGGCACTGGCATTGGTGCATAGCTTCCCAAGGGGAGTACTTCGAAGGTGACCATAGTGATATTCAGCAATGAGGTATGTAGCACGTTTTCTAGGATGAGTTCATGAACCTAATTGTGAGACCTCATACGCTGACCATAGCACTTGTATGTCTGTCTCTCTAACCAGAGAGTGAGCTTGAAGGGAGAAAATATCTTTTCTTCTTAATGCCCAGTACCTAGAACTGGAGATTGTTGCCTGCTGTATAGCAAATACTTCATAAAATATCTTGGGAGAGAAGCAAAGAACAAGAGTATATGCCTTGCCCTTTCCTCTCTTTTCCCTAAGTGAGATTGCATCAAACTCAGTAACTTTCATGCAGTTAATTTACTGTGAAGTATAATTATGAAAGTATTCTGCAAATAGTACCAAAGTGAGCAGTTGTGCCCTTTGACTCAATATTGTTGAATTGAAATATCTAGATTTTGGTATTAAGAGATGACTGTACTCTTTATCACCATGTCATTATTGGTTACTTTTTTGTTTTAAAGCCATGTATAGTCATGCAATATGCAATTCTCAAAAGTCAAGTTGGTAGACTGTCTGAAGGTAGATGGTCAAAAAGTAATAACAAGCAGAATTGAAAATAGAACTACTTTGGTTAATCCCTCAAAGCAGGTCTTTATTTTATACAGAACATCCTATAGTGCATTATGTGAAAATGAAACTAGATGAAGTGTAACCTATGAGTGACACCTGCTATATAGATTCTCATTTTGATGACCAACACTATCTAATTTATCAGAATACTTGATTGAAGTATTTTACTGACTATCAAGTAAACTCAGAGGAAAGGTCAAGGGTGTAACTACAAAGGCCAATCTATTTTAATTGCCTGAGGTTTAAAAAAAGCCCTCTTCTCAATTTACAGTGACTGTGGGAATCATTTTCCTGCTTACACAATAATAAAGGGGTTATATATGATGAATGCAGCATAGTGGATAATCAGCAAAACTCTAAAGTTAAATTAATCAGTATTTTGGAAAGTTTATTCCATGAATATAGGTTACATGTACTGTCAAGGCAAATGATTGCTTCTTTGGTTACATAGAAAAATACTGATAAGCTTTCATTTTCTTTTTTTTTTAATGTTTTACTGGAAATAATTTATGCAGAGATTCAAACATTGTAAAGTTACATTTTACAAGTGTAAACTTAAATGGTATTTTTGAAATAAAAAAATATAAAAATATACACTAAATTCAGAACAGGTTTAATATTTAGCCTTTGAAGTGATTTTGTAAATCATGCTATATTCATTTATTGTATTCTCTAGGATCCATCTTGATATCCCTCTCCTTCGCAAGGTTTATTGATTCTTTTTTTTTTTTTTGACACTGAACAAAAATTCTTTATTTTTAAGAAAAAAGTATGTTTTCTCATTTTCTATTCTTGGCATAAATTTTAATTCTTTCCAGTGGAACCAAAACTTTCTGAACCCCTTTTAGTGTCATCTAAAGCTTGAACTTTCTCTATTTCAGGATAAAAAAAATCCATTCATAAATGAGTTGTTCAATTTGGTCACCCTTTTTGACGTCAAACTTTTTTTTGCCAAAATTAAACAGTGCAATACCAATATTTTTCCATAATTTTCATCTGTGACACCAGCTCCTACATATATGAAGTGTTTTGCAGCCAAGCCAGAACGTGGAGCTACTCATTCCTAGCACCCACAACGAAGAGCTATCTGAATGTCTTTTTTCACAAGGATTTTCGCCAGAGGTGGTACTGTGTAATCATAGGCACTGTATGGGTCATAGCCCATGGCCCGCGCAGACCCCTTGGTCTGGGCGGAGCGGAGCCACACGCCACCCTCCTCCTCAGGTCATGTCTGCTTGCTGGAAGAGATGACGGGTCTCTTTAGAGCAGGGCATGGCAGAGCAGAGCACAGGTGGAGGTGGGAGCAGAGAGAACGAAAAGGCCGCTTATTGATTCTTTGATAGTTTTAAATAAATTTTTAAAAGTAATGCTAAGTTGGCGTGCTTTAAAAGGGAAATCCTGTATTAGGAATAGAATCCACAGTAAGCTACTATTCATATTTCAGAAATCAGAGGAATTTCTGCTAGACACAGTGTGATGATATTGCATTTCAGGAAGACTTGGGGCTCTTGGGCAAGTAAACTCATGAGATAGATGCTTTGGGGCAGTAAATCAGGGAAGCTCTGTATTGCCTTCACTGGCATGCCCTCACTCAGCAAGGCAAGAAGGAGTGGGATGATGATGGCAAGGAGAGCCCCTGGGAATGCTGAGACTCCCCACAGAATGTACAGGAGTCCTGGGAGACCTACGTGGGCTCAAGAGTACAGGAGTTCTGACCCTTACTCCATTGTTGGCTGTGCCCTTTCTGCTACATAATACTCCTGTTATGAGCAGGTCATCCGCTGGATCAGGATGTGTTCCAGGTAACTTTAAGAATGCTTTTCACAGCTATATTCTCCATTAATTGGAGACTCAGACTCAGTAACACTAAGAAATATTTAGTGAAACAATATGTTTTTGTATATGAATTTTTGTGGAACCAAGTTATGCTTTTTATATATTTTTTTCAAATTGTTATATTGGAAAATGAATACAGACTATATGAATAACTCATAAAGTCAGATATTCATAGAGTCAGATTTACCAAAAGTTGCATCAGCTCTGTGTTGACAAAGTTCATTGACACTTTAATTACTTACTATAATATTTGTTGGGAATGTACTCAGTGCAAGACAACCTAATTGTTAAAATAATATCTTGCAGTATCTTGTCATGATTTAATTAGCTTATCATATGAAAAAAATTTTTAATCAAATTTATCAAAGTACAGGGTTAATTTTCCTACAAAGAATAAGCGGTGTTGTGATATCTACAAGCTCAGTAGTCATGTGTTGTTAGCCAGTACCTAGAGGAGTACTTAAACTTATGTAGGTTAATTGCATTTTATTTGGCAGCGTCAGCACAGATAAGTTGTCTCCTTAATCCTTGGTGTTCAAGAGGCAGAATGTAGTGCTAAATGTCACTTCATTACTCCAGGCTTAGAGAAGTTGCTTATAAAAGTAGTTTATTCATCTGCTAAATTAAACTTGCAATATCAGTGATAATATTTGATACTTTTCTAGTACCTTACATGTTTTCAAAGCATTGTAATATTTGATTCCATTTAATCTTGACAATAATTTTGTGAGGAAGGCAATATAGTTACTGACTCCATGTTATAGATAAGAAAAGTGAGGTCCTGAAATATAAAGTGATTTGAAAATACAGCCTGGCAAGTCAGTGGTAGAGGGGAACTAATTTCTAGGTTTTTCTGATTTCTAGGTGTGGCCACAAGATATTATGGATTGCACAGAGAGAAAGGGAACAGATTAGGCCATACAACTAATTTTTTTTTTTAAATAAAACAACACAGTTTCAGAGATGGCATGGATCCCATCCAGGTTGACATAAGTAGGTAAGGATTCAATTTGATTGGGTGAGACATAGTAACAATACTCTTAATTACAATACATTTAGTCAAATGACAGCATCTTTGTTCTTGGGGTTAGAGTGGGACTACAGGTAGTATCTACTACCTGACAACATTCTCAGTGGAGAGGTGGAGAATGGCCCACAGGAACAGCATAATATCAGGGCCCCAGAAGCCAGGTTATCTAGGATCCTTTGCCAGGCTCTGGTCTTAGCTGCAGTAGTGGAACACCAACCGGGGCTGGGGTAACTGCTAAGTCAGGAAGACTGGGGAAACATAGTGAGAATTGGGTGTGGTGACTGGGGAGAAGACTGCTGCTAATTAATGGGCTGAAGAATGTCACCTCAGAAATGAAATATAGGGAAAACAGGCTAATTCTAGACTCTTTAACATATCAGGCATGATTCTGATTGGCGGGGCTTAATCTGCAGATCAACTGTCTTTAGTCTTCTCTGCTGGACAGAACACAAATGGGCAGGTTCAAGAAACAGTGCTCCTTTGGCACTCGAGCTCATGGTTCAGCTTATAAGGCATGTGCTTTACCCGAGATTTAAGTGAGATGCTCTGCTCATGTATGTCCACAGATTTACAGCTGGGAAGCTTCCACACATTACCTGTGTAAAATGGGTGCCGCTGCCTTTTATAACAATCCCCATGGGTGTTTTCATGCAGTGTTGCCAGGTGAGCATATACTGCTTTATCAGTTCTTCTGGACTATCCTCAAAATAGCACAGGTATTCTCATGATAAAGGTATGTTAATAAATTTGATTATAATAAAGCAAACATTAATTCAGTGACTCATATGTAAAGGTGACAAATGTTTCCTCATGCCACCAATTTCCTAATCTTCTCAAGGTCTATACATTTCTTTGGCTGAATGGGTATGTGGAGAGTTTCTGTTCTGGCTCCCTGATGCTATGTGAAGTCAGAAGTCATTAGTACTTTGTTATTCAAAGTTTGAGTCAAGGACTAGCAGCACTGGCATCACCTGGAGCTTATTAGAAATGCAGAATCTCAGGCCTAACACCAGACCTACTAAATCAGAGTGTATTTTTTTAAAGAATACATGGATACTTTATTAGTAGTCTAGGGAATTGCAGTACAATTAACAAATGGAAAGGATTTTATTGTCAATAAGCCAGGGAACCTTAGTTGTCATTTTTCCAGCTTATGTGGTATTTAGCCTACATGTGGCCTCTTTACCTGGAAAAGGGATTGGATAAGACCAGCAATATTATATATGATTCTACATGGAAGCCCAAGATTGTTTTGGAATTTTCTAGATTTTACATATAAGTGACAATACTCTATCATGAGATATATTTGTAATTTTAATACGGAAATAAATGATCATTATTGTTCAAAATATAATTTTTGAATACACTCTCGTAATTGACATTTATGCCTCAACCACTGTGAAACTCAGACTATTATTAAGAAGAACCTTTCCGTCATTCTTTACACTGAATTCAGGCTCTTGCAGATCTTTCACAATTTCTTCTTTGAGATCAGCTGTTGTATTAAAGTTGCAGGTTTCTGTCAAAAAATCCCAAAGCAGGTCTCCATTTTCATTGCCATCAACAAAACAGTCAGATATATCCATGGTGGACAGAAGGTCGTAACACTCATACTTAATCCCCAACTTGTCCAGCATCTGGGTGAGACCGGTTGATGTGACATACTGGCAGAGGTCATCCTGGGGTAAGCAGGATCCACACTTTCTCCATAGCTTGTCCCAGCCACTGGTTCCTGACACAAGAATAGTAAGAATCTTAGCATTGGTAGTTAAGAGACTATGAAAGAATTTCAGCGTAGCTGGGATGTCTTTCACATAATACAGCATCTGAAACATATGAATAAAGTTCCACTTCTGAAGTTCTTTTTTCTCCATCATTCTATTTTGATATTCAGATAATGTCTCCTTATGCCAAACAAACTTTATGTTCTCAAGATTTGATGCCTTGGCTACAAACTCTTTGTACTTGGCGATTTGTTCAGCACTTGGTTCAACAACTTCATTGCTGATACGAACTCCTGGGTATTGAGCCTGCACTTTGGAGAGAATTTGAAGATCAATTTCGCCTGCACCTCCGCCAATGCTTAGTATCTTAATTTCTTATTTTGTGTCTCCAATCCTTGCTATTATGCCTGGCAGCTTCATGTCCATGAATTCCTGCATGCACTGGTGCTCCGTGGAATTGTTGAGAAACCTCCGAAAGGGTTCAGCACATCTGCTGCGGTCAGAAAACAAACTCCTCATGGAAGAGGCCATATTTGGTTTTCTGAGGAAAGAAAGGGAGGGAGCCAGAGTGTATTTTAACAAGATCTCCAGATGATTTGTAAGTAAATTGAAGTTTGAGAAGCACTAGTCATGCCTTTGTTCCTCAAGTTCATCCCTTCCTAAACATACATTTTTAAGGACCCCCTACTTCCTACTTTACTGAAATCTGCAGGCCATCAGCTAGCCAGTTCAGTTGGATGTGTTTTATTTAAAGAAAATTTTAAAATAATTTTATTGGGGTCACATCAGTTAGTAAAATTATATAGGTTGCAAGTGTACAATTCTATAATACATCATCTATACATTGCACTGTGTGTTCACAACCCAAAAATCAGTTCTCCTTCCATCACCATATATTTGACCCCCTTTATCCTCTTTTACCATCCCTCCTACCCCTTTACCCTCTAGTAACAGCTAAAACGTTGTCTGTGTCTATGAGTGTTTGTTTCTTTGTTTTGTTCATTTGTTGCTTTTGGTTTTATATTCCACATATAAGTGAAATCATATTGTTCTCAGCTTTTTCTGTCTGACCTATTTCACTTAGCATGATAATCTGAAGACCCATCCATATTGTGGCAAATGGCAATATTTCATCTTTTCTTATGGCCGAGTAACATTCCATTGTTACTTGTGTGTGTGTGTGTGTAACATACCACATCTTCTTTATCCATCATCTATTGAAGGACACTTTTGTAATTTCCATGTCTCGGCCACCATGAATAATGCTGCAATGAACATAAGGGTACATATATCTTTACAGATAAATGTTTTCAGATTTTTTTGGTAGATACTCAGAAGAGGGATTGATGGATCATATGGTAATTCTATTCATAATTTTTTGAGGAACCTCCATACTGTTTTTGACAGTAGCTATACCAATTTACATTCCCACCAACCGAATGGGAGAAATTTGCAAACAACACTTCCAATAAGGGGCTAATATCCAAAATATATAAATATACAACTCAACAGCAACAAAAAAACAAACAACCCAATTAAAAAACGAGCAGAGGACCTGAACAGACACTTCTTTCAAGAAGACATACAAACAGTGAACACATAGCTGAGCTGCCGCCCGGATGGCTCAGTGGTTAGAGTGTGCACTCTTAACAAATGGCCAACACACATATGAAAACATGCTCAACTTCACTAGCTATTAGGGAAATATAAATAAAAACCACAATGAGATATCACCTCACACCTGTAGAATGGCTATCATCAACAAGACAAGTAATAGCAAGTGTTGGAAGGCTGTGGAGAAAAAGGAACCCTCATACACTGCTGGTGGGAATGTAAATTGGTACAGTTGGATGTGTTTTAAACTCTAAAACCTGTAACTTTGTGTGCCCAAAACTGTCCCTCCCTTCCTCTGTTAGAGAAGGGGATCTTTTTTTCTAAGCATTCCCCATTTTGTTTTTACCTGTTTTTCCTTTATGATTTTATTTAAAGATTTTATTGGGGGGTTGGGGCAGGGGAACAGCTCTGGGGAATTGGGGGATGGGGAACAGATAAGTTGCTGTCCTTTTGTTCTTTAGTCTCATTGTGGAGGACCTCGCTTCACTGGCCCATGTTGGTATTGTGATCATTACGCTCTTCCCAGGTGAGGCAGATCGGTTGCTGGCCTCTGGACGGCCGCTCACGGTGGCTGTTAGCAGCTCACACTGGCTGCTGGCTGCTCACCCTGGCTGCTGGCCACGCATGGTAGCTTACGGCAGCCCATTGCAGCAGGGGCTGCAGCCTACACCATCACCAGCGCACGGCAGCCCAGCTCCAGGTGGAGCTGTTGTTCACCATCATAGCTGTAGAGGGTGCAGCGTCACTGGCCCTCATGTGGAATCCGAACCGGGGCCCTGCTGTTCAGAGCTGGTGTCCCAAATCAGCTCTTAACCAATGCGCCACTCGGCCGGCCCTCCTTTATGATTTTTTTGTTTGGAGGCAAAGCATCACCTCCAGCTTTCAAGGAATGTATTTCTCTCCAATCAACTTGAAGACTTTTTTTCCCACATTATCTCCTTCAACGACATTGAGCTACTGAGGTTGTTTATTGTTGAATTCTATCAGAAATGTGAGTTACCATTAATTTCAACATTGCATATTTTTAGGTAGCTTTGGAATACCATGAAAAATAAAACCACCCAAAAGACTACTTGGCAGCTTTCCTTGCCATGTTCAACTTTTTGTTTTGTTTGATTTTTCACAACATTATAGAAATCTCAGACCTCATATTTCCCAGCAGTGGCTATATTTTCTGTGTCTTAGCCATAAGTGTTCTGTTATTTTATTCTAAAACTCTAAACCAATTAAGGGAAAAGCATTTATTGGATATTTTCTCTTTTCAGTTTTCTGTTTTTTTCCAACTTTGTTATAAAAGAAAAATACTCTGATGGAACATATTGCCATTTTTGAAATTTAGGTATTTATGTATATACTATTTCTGCTTATGTATTAGAAGTCACATTTAGAAATATTCTCTGTATGTTACAGTTAAACCTTTTTAGTTGGTAAATGCCAACAACATTATGGTTTGTTTCATAAGATCCCTTTTCTTTTTGAAACCATATCCTCCATATCTTCCTTTTCTCTAAAAACCACACAGGATGATGAAGAAATAAAGTGAGAGAAATCTGTTGAAATATACTTACAAGCTATTCTAAATGTTATTAATTGAATGATGTATAGAATTACATAGCACAAGAAGCAAGATTGTCTGAAAGTGACCTTGAGAGCCTATTCTTGGTTACCTGAACCAATGGACCACTGGGAATCAGGAATTACCCTTCCACCGTAGGAGAAGCCACAGTTGAACTCAGCTTTCTATAGCTGATGGCATAATTTTTCCTTCTTGCAGGAACTACAACCTTGTACGGTCTCTGCTGTCCTCAGGTGCTGAGCAGCTAGCTTTCACAGTCACTTCCCTAAATAAACAGCATGCTATCCAGATGGCCTAACATTCAAGTTGTCTGCTCATCTCTTCTGATAAAGATTCTGTCATACTTGCGCTATAAGAAAAAAGAGCCGTGGCGAGGTGGGGTCTCTTTCCTGGAATATCAGACTGAGTGTTCATCAAATGGCCCAGGCCCCTGCATACTTCTTCATGGGAAAACATGGGAGAGTCACAGGGCCTGTGACTTTTCTTATTGCTGACTTCTTGAGTTTCCTGTGTTTTTTTTCACCCTTACAATATGATATTGTAAAATTCACCCTGCGTTCTGGTGAACCTCATGCAGCCACCACAAAGGAACCCATCTTGCACAACACGTTTATTGATAATAATCAAAGCTTTGTTCTGCATACCCTGCTTTGCGACAGTTCATATCTCAGTTTGCATATTTGTAACATAGATTGAAGTCACTGGCCATAACCATATTTTGCCTTGCATAAAATGTCCTCCCATATATGTTCTTTAACTCATGCATTTTCTTTCCATCCATTTCCCTTATTCACATCTCTCCTTGCTCAGCTAAGATTCCATAATGTATTGCTCAATAATAGTGCTGCTAGGACCCTAAACTACCCCCCCTTCTGTCTTCTTTGTGGCATCTGCTAAGGACTGCAACTAGCTGTGGCAACCGAAAATGTCTCCAGACATTGCCAAATGACCCCTGTAGGGCAAAATTCCCTCCAGTTGAGAATCATTGCTCTATGCCCATGACTCCGGTTAAGGTTGCCAATGACTTTCACGATGCTAAATCTCATTTCTTATCTTAGTACCTCAGTGGCATCTGACATTTTTAACCGCTTCCTTCTTTAATCATTTTTACCTTGCCTCCAGTGACTTACAGTCTCGTGATTTTTCTTTATCATATTGCTCCCCAACTCCCTTCTCTCCTTCCTTTCCCTTCCCTTCCCACCCTCCCCTCCACTCGCCTCCTTTCCCCTTCCCCACTTCCCTTCCCTGTCTTTTCCTTTTCTTCTCTTCCCTTCCCTTCCTTTCTTCTTCTTCCTTTCCTCCCTCCTTCCCTCTCTCCCTTCCTTTCTTCTTAAAATCGCCTTTGCAGGTACATCTTCTGCCAAGTGACGATTGAATGTTGGTAGACTCTTCTCACTCTGCTCTTTTTCTGGGGAATCTCACCTACATATAGGACTTTAATTTCATCTTTATACTTCTGTTTCCAGCTATGATGAACTGGTTTCAGTACGGTGAACAGGCCAACCCTCACAACAGCAACAAAGAAAACTAGATACGATAGTTTATCTATAGCTTGTGAGTCTTTATGTCCACGTGATAGCCTTCTCTTTTAGAGGGGGAAACATCTGCTTCTGGCTGTACCTTTTTTTTTTTTAATTGGGGAATTGGGGGGATGGGAACAGCACTGGGGAATTGGGGGAAGGGGAACAGACAAGTTGCTGTTGCTTTGTTCTTCAGTCTAGTTGTGGAGAACGTGGCTTCACTGGCCCAAGTTGGCACCATCACTGTGCTCCTCCCAGGCAAGGCAGACCAGTCACCGGCTTCTGGACGGCCGCTCACGCTGGCTGCTGGCCACGCACGGTAGCCCATGGCAACCCACAGCCACAGGGGCTGCAGCCTACACCCTTGCTGGCAACTCACGGCAGCCCAGCTCCAGGTTGAGCTGTTGTTCAGCATCTTAGCTGTGGAGGGCAGTGTCACTGGCCCTCATATGTGGGATCCGAACCGGGGCCATCTGGCATCCCAAGCCAGTTAACCATCGTGCCACTTGGCCGGCCCTGGCTGTACCTTTTGAAGTAGAAAATTCGTTTTTAATCGGAATTATACAAGTAAAGATGAAAATAGCATTCCTTAAAATGACCTGGAAGGGCCCACGTGATCTGCCTCCACTCCTCCCGCTCACACCTCTCTATTCTCCGCAGCCTTGTCCTATATCATCATCCCTCTTGTAATCCTACATGCGGCAACTAGCCATGATATAGTCCTTTGCTCTCACCATGCTGCACCACAGGGCTTTCTTACTTCTTTCCTTTGCCTATAATGCTCCTCTCACCTGCCTCTGCTCACTTAACTCATTCTTCAGGTCTCCACTCAGCAGACTTCCTCAGCAAGCCTTCCCTGCCCTGCCAGACCAACTCCAATCCCTCATCATGGAGGCCTTTACTGGACTTTGTACATCCCTTTCACACTGCATAGCATGGTAGCAGTTTTATATATACTTGTGTGATTAGTGAGGCAGTGGAGGACAGTTGAGAAAGTGTTCAGAGCAGGGGTTTTGAGGCCAAGACTGCTTGGCTTGGAATCCTGGCTCTTAAATTCTCGGTGCCTCAGTTTCCCCATCTTTAATATGGGGATAGTAATAGAACTTACCTTTAAAGGTTTCTGTGAGTCTTAAATGTTTTAGTGTATATACAATGCTTAGAATGGTGCCTAGAGCATAGTGAACACTATGTAAACATTGGCTATAATTTTAAAAATTTAATTATCGTTTGTCTTTCCAAAAATTTTTGCTCACCATTTTGTTCCCAGTGCCAACACAGTTCATGACACATAGTAGGCATGTAATAACTGTCAGAGTAACATATACATTAAAGCTCTTGGGAGAAAATGCTTTATAAATGCAAAGCATATTAAAAAGAACTACAGATCATTTATGTAGATGAAAAAGTAGAGATTCTATATTGTGTTATTAAAATGATTCTAATCATTCACTATTTTCACTTGCACAATCTCTGTTAGGAGAAAAATGAGTAATTTCCTGATTCTAGGAGAATTCAAACAATATTTTATTATGGTTGAGGTAATTATAATAGAATTAGTGAAGACAGAGTCTTTGAGTTAGAATACTGCAAATTTAAAGAATATATTCAAATTCATGTATTAAATACATAAGAAGTAGATATAATTTTTTCATAACAGACAGAAAAAACATCTTAGTCATGAGATTAAGGATTACACAACAGTGAACCATTTTAGTTTTAAAATATCTCAGAAGATCTTGTAAGCAAAATAGCAAGGACTTAATTTTTTGATGACAAGATACCAAATAAATGTAAACTTGACAAGCAAACCTGGCTCTGCATGCATGCATATGAGAATATTTATCTAGCACTGAGGTCTCTGGGTTCTTTGAATTATTATGAATTATTAGACATTAATAATTTGAGAAATAACCCTATCACATGAGCAATAACAATTCAATGCAAAAAATCTAAAGCCTTGTGAGAGATTGATAAAGTAGTGTACAAGGTCAGACAATTAGTTCACAAACTCATCCTAGAAAACGTGCTACATACCTCATTGCTGAATATCACTGTGGTCACCTTCGAAGGATTCCTCTTGGGAAGCTATGCACAGATGCCAGTGCCTAGTCCACTCTTCAGAGGAATTTGGGAACTCTTTCTGGAATGGCCATCAGAGCTGTTTTCATACTACCCTTTATGTCCTGAATGTCATCAAAATGTCTTCCTTTCAATATTTCTTTTATCTTCTGGTAAAGAAAGAAGCCATTGGGGGCCAGATCAGGTGAGTAGGGAGGGTGTTCCAATACAGTTATTTGTTTACTGGCTAAGAAATCCCCCACAGATAGTGTCATGTGAGCTAGTGCATTGTCATGATGCAAGAGCCATGCATGAATCGTTGGCAAAAAGTTCAGGTCGTCTAACTTGTTCACGCAGCATTTTCAGCACTTCCAGATAGTAAACTTGGTTAACTGTTTGTCCAGTTGGTACAAATTCATAATGAATAATCCCTCTGATAGCAAAAAAGGTTAGCAACATCTTTGCAACAAGTTTGTGAACTTAATTGTCAGTCCCTGTATTCCCATTTGTACTCGTCAGCCTAGGCTGCCATAACTAAATACCATGGACTGGATGGCTTAAACAACAAAATATATTTCTCACAGTTCTGGAGGCTGAGAGGTCCAAGATCAAGTTGCCAGCTGATTCTGTTCCTGGTGAGAGCTCTTCTCCTGGTTTGTAGACATCCACCTTCTCACTGTGTCATCACAAGGTGGATAGAGAGCGAGCTCGGGGGTCTCTCCCTCTTCTTATAAGGGCACCAGCCTTATCGGATTAAGGCCCTTCCTTTATAACCTCATTTAACCTTGATCACCTCCTCACTGCCTTAATCTCTCAATAATCTCTCAAGTCACATTGAGGATTAGGACTTCAACATAGGAATTTTAAGGGAACACAAATTTCTAGTTCATAACACCATTCAAAAGAAAGGGGGAATTTTTTATTTGCATGAATATGTCAAAGACTTTCAGAGGAAGTGGATTTTAAGATTGCCTTTAAAGGGTTTGGACTTGCAGAATGAGAAGGGAAATTATATCGTGATCTGAATATTATGTGTGGAAAGCAGTGGGAATACAGGATCTGTGCAGGGCTGGTGAAGATTACAGTTTAACTGGTCTCCTACTATATTAGAAGAAAATGAGTGAAAAATAGGTGAATTTCACATCACTGAGAAATTTGAACGATGAGCTCTGAAGTTTGTATTGTATTCCATGAGCAATAGGAACCCACAATTTAAAAAGAGTGATATGAACAGAGCTGTTTTCTCAGGAGATTAATCTGACAAGGACTTCAAGGGGCTGATGTTGGCAGCTTGGTGCTATCTGGTGAGGAGGCTATATTAATAGTCAGGAAAGAGGTAAAGGGAGACTGATTTATAATAGTGGTACCAGGTATTCACCAATGAGTCAAATATTGACCCTTCCTCAATAAGCCAGCACTCTAATGGGGAAACATACAAATAAACTAGTAATTACAATGTCATAGGATAAGTGCTAGGGTAAGATTCAATTCACCAGTAATGTATAACAATTCTAAATTTGTATATGCCTAATAAAATATACTTGATACTTACAAAGCAAACAATGGATAGAACTGCAGGGAGAAACTGACAAATCCACAATCACAGTGGAATATTTCAACACATAACTCACCATTTAGAAAGATTAAGCAGAAAAAAATATTAGTTGAGACCTAGAAAATTTGAATAATTCAAGTAACTATTGATGTTGGCTCAAAACAGAGATCAGTGTAGGCTGAGAGAATAATACACCCAACAACTAGAGAACATACAATAATGCTGTTTTTTTTCTTTCTCCTTGCACAAATTCTCTCACAGTCACCATATTCCCACTTTTCAAAAGAAAGGAATACCTCTTATCCATCCCAAATCTTCCATGATGCATCACCCTGGTGTATGAAAATTTCAGAGGAACAATAAAAAATATTGTTGTTGGAGAAGCCTCTTATTGTCATAAACCTTTCCTAAGCTATTGTCTTTTCCTATCTTATATGCATGTCTGGTAAGGGTGAGGCATGACATTAGAAAAGGGGTGATTTACCCCTTGTTGGGATATTCCAAATTCAATAGTATGGCAAAGTTGGAGTGATGACAATTGTTGTTTGACTACCTTACCTCTTTCATATTCTCACTATTGTCAAAAAATGAGTTATTCCTGAGGGAATCATGTCAGAGCAGCACACTCACTCAAGTGGGTGAGGAAGGGGGTAGAAGGACTGGACCCAGTGCTGTAGCCCCAGCCTTGCCAATCAAAGTGCTGGAGTCTCTAAGGCAGCGGTTCTCAACCTGTAGGTCACGACTCCTTTGGGGGTTGAACGACCCTTTCACAGGGGTCGCCTAAGACCATCGGAAAA